CCCCCAAAACCCCAAAACCCCAAAACCCCTTAAGACACATTGAAGGTTGAATATGGAGGAAATTAATTGATTTCGAAGTCAAATTGCTGCACTTCTATGTCCAGATGTGAGCAATCACAATAGTTATTAATGAACATGGTGTCCAGGTCATCACAGTATTTGTTCACCTTATCCAAGATGACTTCAACATCAACTTCAGCAAATTCAGGGACGGTTTTGACCAAGGAATTGAGGATATCTTTCCTAAGGACTCTTCCTGCAGCTTGGTGGAACACCAAGATGTTATAATTCTCACCTCTAGGGTTTATCATGGTGACTCGGTCTTCTATCTCTTGCTCCCTAAATTCTGGGGTCTTAGCCTCCTCCTTTGGTTTGTCTTGGTCTCCTTCTTTCTCCTTATCTTTATCATCGTCTTCAAGTATGGATTCATTTTTGGATGATTCAACCCTGGAGTCATTGTTTTTGCTTCTTTTATCACTCTTCTTGCTTCTTTTTGTTGAGGGTGGCTTTTCATCTTCTTCTTCATCCTTGATTTCTTCGAAAGGAATTTTGATCCTGACTACAGCCTTGACTTTTTCAGGCTCAGGTATTTCTTTTGCGTCAAAAGGCTGGTCTTTGGGCCAGTCAATGCATTCCTTAGGGAAGCAAAGTTTAACTTTGTCAATAGCTGGGTCTAGCTTTACTAAGTTCTTTGAGCTTTTAGAACTTTTTGGTTTATTTTGAACTCTTTGAAGAAGTTGCTGGCTCACTTGATTCTTTAGAAGTTTCTTCTTTGAGTAATGGGGCTTTTAGAATAAGGTTGACCAGAGCGTTGTGTACAAGTGTGATTATTTTTAAATCAAGGCCAATCTCATCACTTTCTTTTCTGAGGTTTCTGATTTCCTCATTTAGCATAACATCATCAAGTTGGAGCAAGTACTCTTTGAGTTCATTCTTGACATCCTCTTTGCTTTTATGTATTGCTTCTGGCTTTATATTTTTTTTAATACAGTATTCAAAAAGTTCAGCTCTTGCTTTAATGAAGAACCTGTCTCATTTCATGTGAGAAGATATATAATTAACCAAGAACCTATATATGCGTTCTTCATCTAAGAAAGGATCTATTCCTGCTCCAAGGACCTCCTTTGCTGAGTTTAAGACAGAGACAATTTGGAAGAAATGTCCTCCAAAAACCCCGATAATTGGGATATCTAAGTCGTTACCATCAGGATTGGTGATTTCATGGATAATTATACGATCTCTTTGATCTCCCTCTTCAATGAACTTCTGTTTGACTTCTTCGTTGAATCTCTTGAGCTCTTCAGCTCTTTTGGCTTCTTCTTTGGCTTCTGCTCTTTTACGTCTTCGTTCTTCTTTGGCAAGGAGCTTAGCTTCTTCTTCTTTCTCGATTTGCCTGAGTCTTTCATTGTCTCTCTCTACTGTTTCTTGATGGGCTCTAACTGGATATGAGATAGCACTTTCAACAATCTCTTCAGCGTTGAGATCGATGAGATCTTCATCATGAAGAAATTTACATGTCTGTTCGTACAACCATGGCACAGCTTGCTCATGTAAGAATCCAGGGAGGGACTCTACAAGAGTCCCATGGTCTTCAAGCAATTTGAGAGTATCCCCAAAGACATCAGAGAGGTACTTCTTGGAAATCTGCCTTGAAGTGTATTTTTGATGGGCGGATACTTTATTTATCACCCTTGCTTTTACCTGGTTTCTTCTTCTATCCATTTCTTGTTTTCTTCTGTTTTCAGCAGCTTCAAGTCTTTGGGCTTCGATGAGCTTGAGATTTCTGACCCTTTCGAACTCTTTACGTCTTTTATCGATGTAGTTGAACTCGTGCTCTTCATAGACCTCCATCTGGGCTTGCTCGACTGTATTGAAGCAAAGAACTGAGAGAAGGGGAGCTACGATTTCGTTGAAATCGTAAACGTCTTCATCAAGCATATCTTTCTCAACCTGGGTTTCAGCATCCTCTCCAGTCTTTATAGGGACAAACAAAGGTGTTGGAGGCCTGTCAATGTAGAAATCACTCTGCACACCGATTTCAAATTCTGTAGGCTTATCAGTTAGGTTCTCGACAAAAGGTTCCGTTTGAATATCTAGGTTCACCCTGCCAGGAAGCGGTTCTGGAGTCTTGATATCTCTTTGAGCCTCAAACTCAGCCCTTCTCCTGCTTTCATCCTCTTGCTGCAGTTTGACTCTTCTCTGTTGCTCCTTTTTCTTCTCAAGAAAGATGGCATCAGGGTGATTTCCAGCAGGAATTACCATGCTTGCATTGGTACTCCCTCTTGCAATTCTTGGATCATGCATGATGTTTTGAGGGATGTAATCATAAGATTGACCATAAGGGTCTCTGAACTTGGGTCGGCTGTCAACCACTCTTGGTTGAGCACTAAACTCGTATCCAGCGTCTTGAGCTCCAAACATTTTATTTTTGTCTTTTATTTATATGAATTTTATGTCAATTTTCAAAATATTTGATGGGGTTTTGGGGTTTTGGGGTTTTGGGGTTTTGGGG